CCCACCCCCCAAAAAAAAAATAACGGGGGCAAGACCAAAGAAATAGAAAAGTGATGAGACGAAAGTGTAATAAGGATGAAACAATATTGTACCCTCGAAGTGGATGGGTTTACTTCATAATTCACAAAATTTATATGCAAAAAACATAAAAAGGTCTAGATCGCTAGTAGATCTTTACGCTGCTTTCATTAATTCTATCAATTAAAGCATTACTTCCATTAAAAAAGTTGCTAGCCATTTTTTTCCTACTTTGCTCTATTAAGTTTCTTTCTTTGCTACAGCCATATAAAAATCATTGTTTTAGACGTTGCATATATAGAAACGTGTAGATTGTGAGAAGAAGAAAAAAGGCTTCTTGTATTTCTGTGTGTTTTTACATCCCATGAACAAGGGAATTTATACAAAGCTACTTATGTTAATTAAGGAAATAAAATAAATCTATACAATCAATATATCTATCAAATCAAATCAGAATAAAATCAAATCTCCTAAAATCATGCTAATCAACACTCCTAAATCAAGTCTTCTTGAATCATGCTAATAAACACTCCCCTTCAAGTTGGTGCAAAGATGTCGCATATGCCCAACTTGCAACTCAAAGTATGGGAAGTTTGCTTGTTGAGACCTTTAGTAAAAACATCAGCTAGTTGTTTTTCCGATGGCATATGAAACAAACTCAAGACACCAGTTGTAACTTTTTTTTGATGAAGTGTCGATCAACTTCCACATGCTTTGTTCGGCCATGCTGGACTGGATTATGAGGCGATCATGTTTGGAGAAAAGTAGACCTTTTCCTGGAGCAGATTTCACATACCGCAAAATGTGAAAAACAACTTGCATATGAGGATCTCGGGGATCATGCATGAACTGACTCACCAGGCTAACTGAATAGGATATGTGATATGTCTGGTCTAGTGTGGGAGAGATAAATGAATCTTCCAACCAGTCTCTGATATCTCTCATTATCAACTGATTCTCCAACTCTGCTTTGTAGCTTGTGATTGCTTTCAATGGGCAATTCTGCGGGTTTGCAACCTGCCATATCAGTTTGTTTCAAGAGATCCAGAATATACTTCCTTTGAGAAATAAAGATTCCTCTTTTGGATCTAGCAACCTAAATTCCCAAGAAGTACTGCAATTTTCCTAGATCTTTGATCTCAAATTTATGTGCCAACAACTTCTTCAATTGGGACATCTCCTCTTTGTCATCTCCTGTCACTACTATGTCATCAACATAAACTATGAGAAGAGTGAGTTTACCCGTTTGATGTCTTATGAAGAGGGTGTGATCAGCATTGCTTTTTTGGTAACTGAATTAGATCATTGCTTTGCTGAATCTGTCAAATCAAGCTCTAGGGGATCGCTTCAATTCGTATAAGGCTTTCTTCAATCTGCACACATTTTCTTGACTCTATGCAATATCAAATCCAGGAAGAATCTCCATATACACTTCTTCTTTCTAACTCTCCATGAAGAAATATTTCTTCACATCAAACTGTAGCAAGTCCCAATCAATATTAGATGCACAAGATAAAAGAATTCTAATAGTGTCCATCTTAGCAACAGGGGCAAATGTCTCTTGATAATCCACTTCATACATCTGAGTGAATCCTTTGGCCAATCTTGCTTTGAATCTTTCAATTGAACCATCAGCTTTGTGTTTCACAGTGAAGACCCATTTGCAGCCAACCAACTTCTTGTCTAGTGGTGAGGTGACAAGTTCCCAAGTCTCATTTTTTGACAAGGCCTTCATTTCTTCAATCATAGCTTGCTTCCATTTAGGATCTGCAAAAGCTTCCCCCCAATTCTGGGGAATAGACACAGAAGAAATAAACAAGGCAAAGGCTCTATAAAAAGGAGACAAAGAATTATAGAAGACNCCCCCCAATTCTGGGGAATAGACACAGAAGAAATAGATAAGGCAAAGGCTCTATAGGAGGGAGACATAATTATAGGAGAAAAATTAGATAAAAGATGTTTGGTGGTGCAAGATCTGACTCATTTTCTATGAGCAATAGGTTCATCCAACTCATTAGGAGATGTAGATAACTCACCAGTAGAAGAAGGTTTAGCTTCGGTAGATTGCATAATGGCTTCTTCTGCTTTATTTTTCTTTGAGTAAGTTTTCAAATCAGGTATAACCAAACGCCCAATAGTCTCCCCCTGAATTCTTCTCCAATTTCACTTTCCCATGTGATAATGTCATCAAAAGGTCCGGTAATGCAACTAGGTATAATCACCTCTTCCTCCTTACTGCTCTCCCCCCGATGAGGTGATGAGGTAATAATGAAATAGGTCTCAGATTCTCGAAAGGTAACATCCATGCTAACAAAACATCTCCTAGAGGGAGGATGATAACATTTGTAACCTTTCTGTGTCGGAGAATATCCAATGAAAACACACTTTATAGCTCTAGGATCAAGTTTTTCAGAATTAATAGTGTGGACAAAGCAAACACACCCAAACACCATTAGAGGAACAATATATTCATTCATACCCTTTAAAGTAGGGCTAGGCATATATCGGGTAAAACCGATAACCCGAACCGTTAATTTTTTATTGGGTTATCGGTATCGGGTTATTGGGTTAACGGTTCGATAATGGTTTAGAATTTTTTTACTATTGGGTTATCGATTCGGGCATCGGTTTGCCAATTTTGTTAATGGGTTAACCGATAAACCAATAAGAATTAAAAAAATTACGATTTATCCTTAAGTATATACAAATGCTAGGGCTTCAGTTCATTCTCTCCTATTCTTTCTCAACCCCACTCTTCAGTTGTTTCATCTTCATTCTTCATAGACCTTACTAGTTACTCATAGAATAAGTCTTTAGTATGTTATATGTGAATTCTTCTCTTTTTTACTTAACTCCGGTGAATTGTCTTTTCTTTTTTGCTTAACTCTAGATTGAGTTATCTTATCGGGTAAACCGATAATGATCGATAACCGATTAACCGATACACGATAACCGATATCTTATCGGTTCGGTTATCGGTTTATCAAATTTGTAAACCGATAACCGATATGCTAAACCGATAATATTCATAACCGAACCGAACCGACCAATGCCCACCCCTACTTTAAAGCTTCCAAAGAACTTTGAAAATTTAGGGTTTTAAGTGGCATTCTATTGACAAGATAGGCAACCACTAGAATAGCATTCTCCCAATAAGGTTTTGGTATATGCATGGTGAACATAAGAGATTGTGCTACTTATAATAAATGCCTATTTTTTCTTTCAACGATCACATTTTGTGCACTACTGTAAGGATAACTAGTCTGATGGACTATCCCATTGGACTCCAAATAAGTACCAAATCTTTTATCCATGTATTTGTTGTCATTGTCAATCCTCAAGATTTTTGTTTTGGCATCAAACTGAGTATAAATCATCTTATGAAAAGACTGAAAATAAGACAAAACTTCACTTTTGGCTTTTGACAAATATACTCGAGTCATCCTAGTGCAGCAATCAATGAAAGTAACAAACCATCGACTACCAGACAAAAAAATAGTTTGGGTAGGACCCCATACATTAGAATGAAAAGTCATAAACGGAGTTGTGCATCTATTATCACTCACAGGATAAGAGTTTCTAGTATGCTTGGCATATTTACACGCATCACAAAACAAAGATTCAAATTGAGTCCTTGAAAACAAATCGGGATATAACCTCTTCCGATGTCTATACCGTTGTATTATTTCTTGGTAGACATCCTTACTTTTACCAAAATATGCTTGACCAAAGTTTTGAATCCATCTAATATATACAAGTCATCATGCAATCTACCACTGCCAATCCTTTTCCCAGTTTGAAGATCCTGAAAAATACAATTATCAGGAAAGAACTCGATTTTACAGTTTAGAGCTTTGGAGATGGCACTAACAGATAAAAGATTGACAAGGAACCCAGGGACATGGAGCACGGATGATAGTTTAATATTAGGA